TGCAGATGGCGCTCTGCTCTCTGCGACCCTCTGTGGCTGCAGGGCACAGCTGGTCTCACCATGGTCTGCACCACGGGCTAAAGGAGAATCTCTGCTCCGGTGCCTGGAACACCTCATCCCCCTTCTTCTCACTGACCTTGGTGTGTGCAGAGCTGTTTCTCTCACATCTTGATCTCTTTCTGCCTGTGATTTCTCCCCCTCCCCACCACTCCTGCACAGCGTTAAACACATTATCCCAGAGGCACTGTTGCTGACAGGTTTGGTCTTGGCTCCGGTGGGCCATTGGCTCGGTTGGACACAGGGAGGCTTCCAGCAGCGTTTCACAGAAGCCACCCCTGTAGCCCCCCTGCTAGCAAAACCTTGCCGATCAAACCCAAGCAGACTATTAGCCTGTTATAAGAAATACCAGAACTTAAGTTTCAGAGGTGAGATTCCAGAAATTGTTTTGAGGCACCTTTCCGTTCTGCTTTTTCACATGACTTTGGTTTGAGAGAAAATACCATTTGGCTTACAACTTTTCCTTTCCTTTTAATTAGTATTACACAGTATGTATGTATATGTGTGACTCTTGCTGGTAGTCACAGCTGTTGGCTTTTTTTTTTTTTTTAGGAAACTTCTGCTTTCTCATTTCTCTTTGTTTCAGTCATGGTGTCTCTTACTGGTAAAAAGCTACCACGATGCCTACTTGCTCATGTATTTTCTCAAGTCTTCTGTCATACTTTACTGTGTCCATTTTTATTGGTTTAGGTGATTATAGGTTTACAGTGAATTCACTGAAAAGGTATATTGTGTTTTCCAAGTTCATATCTTTGAGAGAAACTGTTGAAGAATCCAAGGAAAAAAACTATCGTCATGTGACTGTGCAAGAGAAACTGCCGAGTGCGTACATGCTTTTAAAACTGATGCTGAAGTGTATCATTTGTGTCTACCTCACAGCGATGTTGTTAAGTTCTACTTTTGTCTCTGCTTGTAGCAGCTTGATTCACTGTTCTTCTATTGTGCAAAATAGATACTGTAGGTGAGGAGATGATTTTTCTTTCTGTGGCATTTTCTTGTGTCCTGACCAGGTTGAGCTGCGACGAGCAGTGGAAGAGGCAGTGAAGGAGACCCCAGAATATCGCTGCATGCAGTCCCAGTTTTCTGTTTTGTATAATGAGAGTCTCCAGCTGAAGGCACATCTTGATGAGGCCCGCACTCTGCTTCATGGCACCCGTACCACACACCAGCGCCAGGTTGAACTGATCGAGGTAGTGCCTCTGTTCCATCAGACTGGGGAACATTATCATCCCATTGACCATCACGGCTGGGTCTGGGTGGCTCTGGGAATTCTCAGGAAATTTATCTTCCTGGCAGTAATTCATCTGTTCTGGTACGTTATGTGGATGAGGTGAGAGATACTCGGGGGTCACAGTACTAAGTTCTATCCCCTTCTTGCTCCTCAGAGAGACGAGGTCAGCCTTCACAAGAAACTGCGCACAGAGGTGATTCAGCTAGAGGACACCCTGGCCCAAGTCCGCAAAGAATACGAGATGTTGAGGATAGAGTTTGAACAGACGCTTGCTGCCAACGAACAAGCAGGTACAGAGTTTTTCTGCTGTGCTTAGAAACAAACAGCTCCCCCCACCCAGTACCCATTAGAGGCTGCACTGCAGTAAAACACCTGGTTTGATTCGTTGTTACTGTTAAATACTTGTTCTGGCAGGTCTCCATCAAAAAATAAAGCTCTCTTTACGTGTTTTATGGGAGGCCAGTTCCTGTTTATCTCTCTTCCTTTTAGGTGTTGCAGAATACATACATTTTATTAATAATTATGTTTATGACAGTATTTTGCATTATTAAAGATTACTTTTGAGGGGATTAATTTACAAGTCTGTAATGACAACCTTGATAGGAAACCCATAACTTTCAGATTTCATCACAGGAAATAAGTTTTTTTGTAAGGTAGCATTAGAGAGTAGAGATTTTTTTTGTCACGTGACACATTTCCCGTAGGAACATGGGGGGGAAAGTAATGTTAAGGGAAAAATAGGGCTGGAAATTTGCAAGAACTTACAGCTGCACATAAAACTGGCACGACTTGGTTCTGCAAATCTGTTGCATTGCTCTGTTGCATGGCAGAATGATAATAGTGTAATAGTTGTATTTTGGTTCTTTGTCGTTGTCACCTAGCTTGTTCTCCATCTCCATGAAAGTCCTTGCAGAATGCTGGCAAAAATGTGGTTTGTTACGGTTGTGTTTCTGTTTTTGTAGGCCCAATTAACCGGGAGATGCGTCATCTCATCAGCAGCCTCCAAAATCACAACCACCAGCTGAAGGGAGAGGTGTTAAGATACAAGCGCAAACTGAGAGAGGCCCAGTCTGACTTGAGCAAGGTATCAGAGCAGGAAATGCCAGGAAAGAGCAGAAAGTACTCAGGAGAAGGGGGAATGCTGTCACTCTTGCCTGTAATACCAATCTTTCTGTTGCAGCATGCAGGCTGCAATGCATTTTTCAGTGGAACTCTACACTCCACTGGCTGCAGTTACCAAATGAGTGGTCTTTTGTTGTAGCTGTACAGTGCTTGATGGAAAGCAGTAGCAATTATGGAGGGGGGGCATGTGGGCATGGATCTGGGAAGACCAGGGAGAGGATAAGGTAAATTTTTGGCAAAGAGGTGAATGGGTTGTTTTCTTACCTGTCGTCTTTCTTGCTGTTCCACAACAGATCCGCTCTCGCAGCGGTAGTGCTCTCTTACAGTCCCAGTCCAGCACTGAAGACACAAAGGAGGAACCTCCAGAGATCAAGCAGGAACCTGATGATCCTTCTGCCCAAGTGTCTGCCCCCAAGGTTGCTTCTGAAGATGTTAATGAAATGAAGGCCAGGCGAGATGAAGAGGAACGAGAGCGTGAGAGACGGGAGAGGGAGCGGGAGAGGGAACGAGAGAAGGAAAAGGAGAAGGAAAGAGAACGAGAGAAGGAGAAAGAAAAGGAGAAGGAGCGAGAGCGGGAAAAGCAGAAGCAGAAAGAATCTGAGAAGGAGAGAGAGACCAAAGAGAAAGAGAAAGGGAAGCATGAAGACGGAAGAAAGAAGGAGGCTGAAGTGATCAAGCAGCTGAAGGCTGAGCTCAAGTAAGGGTTTTCTCCCGCCCTTTCCTGCTTGAATACTACCCAAGCTGTGGTGTTTGTGTGAGATGACTTATAGCTCGCTCTTACAAGATTAGCTTCACAGAAGTGAGAGGTTCCTGGCATCCTCTATATCTGATTGATTGTGATTTGGACAATGTAGTATCATTTCTCCTAGGACAGCCTAAAGCATGAACTACCAAACCAAATACTTCATAGTGTGGGTCAAGGCACCTTTATTTGTTGCTATCATAACAATTGTGTAAGACCTTACAGCAGCAGGTTATTAATAGAAGGCACAGGACTCTTCCCTGTCTTGGATCAGTACCAAAGTAGAGCTGGACTTTTTGTTGCTTACTGTTAGGGTATGTGTTTCCTCCCCACCCCTCTTCTCTTGGCTTTTCAACCCATGTGTGCCTGAGCATGTTTCTTTTCAGCCTCCAGCCTATACTCCTTGGCTGTTTTACATTAGCAGGGTGAGGTGAGCCAAGGATGTATCCATGTGCATGCCATGTGGGAAGAGGATATTGCTCTGACTCATGCTTTCCTGCTGTGTTCTCACAGTTGTCTCTCTTTGTCTCCAGGAAGGCCCAGGAGAGCCAGAAGGAGATGAAACTGTTGCTAGATATGTACCGCTCTGCTCCCAAAGAGCAGAGAGACAAAGTGCAGCTGATGGCAGCTGAGAAGAAGGCAAAAGCTGAGGTAAATCTCATTTCTCTCTTCAATATGTTACTTCAAACTTCTTTTTGGATACTCTTGCACCTGAACTGTGTTGGTTTTGTCTTCAGAACTGGAGACTGTTCTTCTTTGTCACTTAAGAGGGATTGGAGATGAACAGGGAGATTTTGGGATATCTTCCTCTGGGAAGGGATGATACCTTTGCCCAGACTGAGGGACGTGGCTGCTGCTTTCTCAGTTGCAGATGCAGCCCATTGTGAAGCTGAGCACACATCCCAGAGACATACACAGAGGACACTGACACGCCAGTCACACTACCACATGCAAGGTGCTGTCTTCAACTGCATGTACATCTAGGACTTCAAAAATAAGCACAGAAAGGGAAGTCCCCTTCCTCCCCTTCAGCTGGTAGAGATAGAAGGTCACTAGTGCAGACACATGCACAACACTTTCCAGGTTCTGAAACACAGATGCATTCGCAGGTCCCTCAAGTACCAGCACGGCCCCTCTGTGTGTCTGGTACCCCTGTGACTCCGGGCCCTCTTAAATTCTTCACATACAGGTCTCGCCTGCAGCTAGCACTTACTCCATGCAGCACACATATACATGGGACAGACATTACACAGAGGTGGTTATGAAAACATTTAATGAGAAGATACAAGAAGGTGGAACAGGCTGCGATGATCATGAGCAGGGCTGAGCCAGGCAAGTGTAGTGACTGCCCTCATTTTACACATGACCAGCTCTTTTCATATCCTTCTCTGTCTAACCCCAGTTTGTTCATCCTTGCTCTCCTTTCTCCTACTATTCCCTTCTGGGATTGTACAGCTCTTACTGATTACCACAGCCCTCCCAGTCCAGAATCCACCTCTGGTTTACAGTCTTACCAGTAGTGAAGTCCAGATTGGTTTTACCAGAAGTTGTTCCTATCAGCTGTTGTGACTGGGGAGGTTTTTTCTTGTCTCCATGTTTGTTTTGTCAGGACGGTGTCTCTATATTTTGTTTCTTGTCTCCTCCTGCCCCCTTCTGTCCCTTAGTTTCCCAGCTGACAGGATCCTCAGTCAGATAACCTTGCTGGAATAAACATTCTCATGCTCTTGTCAGTGAGTGTGACTGACCAGGTTTGGTTCTCACCACTGCCTGCCTTATCATTTGTTTGTCAGGGTTGTGTCTCTGTAGGTTTTGTTTATGGCTTCCTCCTTTTCTTATTATGACTTTTTGCGTTGAAAAAGGACCTTGGCCAAATGCCTTTAAAGAAGAGGTTGCACTCTGCCCACACACCCTTACATACAGAGTAGGGAATAATGTTCCTACTCTGATAAAAGATGCTATGGAATTTTCAGAGTAATAAAATCAAGATCTTAGGCTTGCAGACCATGTCCATCTGCCAGTAATACACTGTCCTGCCAGGAGGAAATGGGTTTTCTTTTCCCTTGCTTTGAAGGCAGTTTTAGATAACTGGGGAAAACAGGCTCTTAAAAATGTTCAGGCTGCATTCTTGTGTTTAGTGTAATTTGTTTTATCCTTACTGTAGCTGGAAGAACTGAGGCAGAGGGTGAAAGAACTGGAGGACAAAGAGAAAAAGGAGAGTAAAAAGATGGCTGATGAGGATGCTCTCCGCAAGATCCGAGCAGTGGAGGAACAAATTGAGTATTTACAGAAGAAACTCGCCATGGCTAAGCAGGTGAGAAGCTTGTGAGGAGTTCTGTCTTGCCTGGAGCACCTGGGAAGCAACTGCCTTCAGGTTGCAACCAGGAAGATCACCGCAGAGGAGGAATTTGTGTCTCTGTATGTGCCAGAGATGTTTTTTCCCTGTTTATCAGAGAGGGGAAAAAACCCCCAACCAGCCAAAACACCACCAAACCAACCCCCGCAACACCAGGGTGTCACAAAGCTTGTAGTGGGGAGTGTTTAATTGTTTGTAGCCTTGGTGAAGAGCAGAGGAGAGATGGCTGGATCAGCCTCTAGGGGGTGAAGTGGTAATTTTTCTTTACAGGTACTATCTGTGCAGTTGTGTATTTGCCACAGTACCATGCACATACCTTTTTCCACAAAAAAGGATTTAATCTAATGATTATAGAGCAAAACCAGCTCGACAGGGGAAAGGCAAGCCAGTGACTTGATGTTCTTTTAGAATTTAGATTATTTTTCTTATAGTACAGAACTATTCTATCTTTATCCTTTAATGCTGAAGTGGCCTCAGTGAGTTTAAGGGGCTTATCAGCCTGTTGGTTGGAAGCTGTTGTCCACATGTAGCATTCTTGGCCCAGTGTATATGATGGCTGTTTGGCTAGCTGCCTGAAGCTGGGAAGCGGTTTCTGCCCAGCTCTGGCAACTACTGTGCCACAACTGACTGTTGTCAGCAGACAATCCACAGTCTGTGAATGCTTGTGGAGATGACCGTCTCCTTTCTACACATTGTAATTCAGGACGTCTCTGCTGTGGTGCAGACCTCTAGGGAGTGCTTTTTTCTGGTTACTGTGGAGATGCTGTTCTCTGATACTGAGACTTCTTCCTTCATCAGTGCTAGGTTTTGTGTCCCTAAGTAAAGTGTTCAGGGACATTGTAGGAGACAGTTTTGCAACAGCCTGTGATTCTTCTGCAGGAGGAGGAAGCCCTGCTGTCGGAAATGGATGTCACAGGCCAAGCCTTTGAAGACATGCAGGAGCAGAACATCCGCCTGATGCAGCAGTTGCGGGAGAAGGATGATGCCAACTTCAAGCTGATGTCAGAACGCATCAAGTCCAACCAGATCCACAAGCTGCTGAAAGAGGAGAAGGAGGAGCTGGCAGACCAAGTTTTGACACTGAAGACCCAGGTAACCTGGAAGAAGGAGAGAGTACAACAGAACTGATGGGAAGGTGGAGGTGTGGGTTAACTCTGCGAGGCAGCTAAGCTCCACATGGCTGCTTGCTTGTTCCCTTACAGTGGGGTGGGGGAAGAATCAGAAGGGCAAAAGTGAGAAAACTGGTGGGTTGAGATAAAGCCAGTTCAGTCATTAAGGGAAAGCTGTGCGTACAGGCAAAGCAAACAAGGAATTTCTTCGCTACTTCCCGTGGCAGGAAGATACTAGGATTTCCAGGAAAGGGCTTCATCATGCATAGCGGTGACTTGGGAAGACAAAGTAAGTGTAAGTACTGTGCAGCAATAGCTAAATCAGTAGCATGTTACTGACGGTGTTTTGGTTGCAGTTCCAAAATACAGCACTGTTTGAGCTGCTGTGAAGGGAATTAACTGCATCCCTACCTGTCATGGTTTATCGTGGGCCAGCAGTAAATACCACGCAGTCGCTCGCTCACCTCCTCCCTCCTCCCCCGGTGGAGGAGGAGTGTTGGAGGAAAA